CCAAACAATAACTTGATACCTGACCATATCCCACCAGAACTATGTGGTAACATTGTTTATTTATTTCCAGGTTTCCTATGTACACTTTATTTCTCATCTACCCAAAAGGTATTTCCTCATTGATTCACTGAAATATAATACTGTTTTATTTCCAGGTTGTTTGGCAAGACAGCATTGATCCTGACAACATGACATATGAGGTTAATGACTTCTCTTGCATGACTTGTGTAACCATGCTCTCATGCTCGCTGTTTCATGTAAAACCCACTTTGATATATGTGTCATCTTCTGCATCTGATTTATATGTTGGGTTCAGCTAGATAGGTAAAAGTCTGCAGTGGTTACACCATGCACAATTGGATTGATCAATTTATTGTTCTTATTTGGGTGCTTTGAGGACCAAAATACTGGACATCAAGGATGATGTGACTTAAGATGAAGAAATTTTTTGTTACTTGAATAATCACTTAGCAGTATTTTTGCTGTGCTTATCTGAAAGTACATGCTTGTAAAGTCACGAGTAGATATATACATCCACACATCACACTGCTTTTCTTTTGCTCCATGCACCGGAACTATTCAACTAACAATAGTACAATACTCTTCAATGGTTAAGCTCTATGTCCATTAATCATTCGTTTCATTGTTAGTTTTCTTTGTCTCATCTTATTATTTCTGGAACTTGGTTCGCTTACAAGTTTTTGTTGACAGGAATTGTTGGATTTGGGCGAGGCAGTTGGAACCCAAAGTCGGGGTCTCTCCCAAGAAAGCATTTCAGCACTTCCAATCACCAAATTCAAGTGTGGTTTATTTTCAAGGAAGAAAAAACGCCGTGAAAGGTTAGATGTTGCTGCAATCTCTTGGCATGACTTTGTCCTACTTTGTGCGTGCCCTCTTGGCATGCTATAGGCCGCTGTAGGTTTAGGCTTTTAGTTTTCGGCTAGGCAGGTTTACCTTGTAAACTTTTGAAGCATACCATAATAGTTCCGTCTGCATTGACACCGATGCTGCATCTTGAGTGCAATATTCTGTTTGAGCTCTTTTACGGTACCCTGGTACTCCCTTAAGAAGGGATGGAGTGCCACTAAAATCTGGCCATCCACCTGAAAGGGTAGTTTAGTCATTTTTCTCATATTCTTAAGCGATATCTTTCACATCAGATCTGCTATAAATTGTTTGGTAACGCGTCTGTTTATCCATGTCAAAAAAAAGCGAGTACCCTAAAAAAATCGGGTGTTTATCGGCCTATAGGCGTGCCGCCATCATCTCATGAGCTGTTACGCACGCGGCTGCCAATGCTATCCCTTGGCCAGATCAACCCCACACATGAACGTCCACCACTTGGTCAACGCAAGCATGATGGAGCTCCAGCCGACCTAGTGATCCCGCCTCGCCCTGGTCCTGTCGCTTCAGCGTTGCCCTGGTTGGTGACCATACCCAGCTGACGCCGCTTGACAAGTACTTGAGCAGCCATGCCTTCATGGCCGTCTCTCCCTGAGACTCTGATGCGGGGATGGCATGGCCGCCGCCGGCGTCTATCCCAGTGAAGAATTAGGGTTCTAAAAATAATTAATCACGTCAAGTTGAAACGTTATTATGTAGCAGCCGTACTGATACGATAAATTAATTGCATCTAGATTACATTTTTACCCCTAAGATCGGGGTACTCCCTAGCTTTTTCAGTTGGTACTCTCTTGTACACTTGTTGGAGTACCGATTAAGATCATCCATCGGATTAACAGAAATGGAGGGCTCATAATCATTTAGGGGTACTGTAAAAGAGCTCTTCTGTTTTTCGCTTACCTGTAGAGGACGCAGTTACAGCAACCTGATTCTTAAATGGAAAGGAAGATATGTAACTTTTAGAACTTTCATATGGGTAACAAACAGGTGTGTAATCTGTCAAATGGAGTATCGGAGAGGGGATCTGCAGATGGCACTCCCCTGCAAGCATGTGTACCACGCCAGCTGCGTGACAAAATGGCTTACCATCAACAAGGTCTGCGATAAGGAAACAGAACAATCCGTATCCGCTTCTTGTTTCTACCCCCTGCCTCTTTAGCTGACAGGAGTATGCATTTGCTCTGCAGGTATGCCCTGTCTGCTTTGCTGAAGTTCCCGGCGAGGAGCCCAAGAGGCAATGAGTTATGTGGCAATCACGAAGTTCTTGCGCTGGGACGACGTACGCGTGATCTCTGCTTGAGGGCAGCTTGCTTTGTGCCCTACCCCTTCCCTTTAGACTTGTATATTAGGACCATATCACTAAATATAGGTTATAAGCAGATGTAGCTGGAAGCCGGAACCGCTTCCCAGAGGTTTGCCGTAGGCTGTAGAGTTTGACCGTGAACTATGACCACGTGGTAGAGCTCGATCGTGCATGCTTGTGAGGTGTTTTGTTCACTGCAAAGAGGCATGCGCTTGTTTCTGTTAACTGTATTTGATTAAGATTTTTGTGGACAGAGGAAAGATTCATTTGTTACAACCTTGTGACTATGAGCTTGCATTCCTTGTCAGTGATGTGTTTGTGACTGAAACTCTGAGCTTCTTTTGGGGGAGGCTAGGCTCAGCCAGTTTTGTGTTGCTTCTTCTTCTTTTCTCTTGGGATTTTGTGTGTGTGGCTCCTGTTTTTGTCTGTAGTTGGATGAACTCCTGTATCCACTTTGTACCGGTGACCACTGCTCAGCTACGGACCTGTCCAGTGCAGGTACAATTTTTTGGGGAGGCTTTGCCAGTTTTGTGTGTAGCTCCTGTTTTTATCTGCAGTTGGATCAACTGATGTATGCACTTGTACTCTGGTGACAACTGCTCAGCTCTGGACCTGTCGAGTTGAGGTAGTGCAACTTTTCTTGGACAGGAAAATTAACCTTTATTTAGCTCACAGCAATTGTTACATTATCAACCAGGAAATCAGGGGATCATCCAGCCACACAGACGGACTGATTCTGGTACGTGGAGCTGAAAGATAGTGTGCCTCTCTAGGCCAGTGCTTCACAGAATGGTGTTCAAACTCGGATTTGCTATTTCTTAGGTGCCTGAAATTCTTTTTCGTGTCGGCCACTTTTTTCCTTCTTGTTTCCCTCTTGGCCGGACCTCGCCGGAGAAGAAACAAGCTTGCCGGAGAAGAACTAGCCCCACCATCTATCTTAGGATGAAGTCATGACCCCATTATCTATCTTAGGGGTGTGGGTGTGTAGAGGATCGCCGAAGGTTTTCATGGGTGGCGCTGGGCTTACAGGAGTGTCCTGGACGGTGGCCAGCAACGGCGATAGGGGGAGGTTAACGGGAGGGCAGGGCGGTGCCCGGTAGTGTCTGCCGGCCGTGGGTGGTGGAGGCCGGCGGTTAAGCCGCTGGGGGTGTTTGGAGGAGGAAGAAGGGGTACCCGGAAGAAGAAAGGGAGGAGGAAGAAGGGGGTACCCGGAAGAAGAAAGGGAGGAGGAAGATAAACAATACCGCGATCTATTTGAAATGAAGATATAGTGGCTGTTGATAAAAGTGACCGATGGCTCTTTCAGAAAGAAAAAAGTGACCGATGGCAAAAGAAATTTCAGGTACATGGATAGAGGGTCCCGTTCAAACTTGATGTTGATGGCGATCACCTATTCACCTGATGGCGCATCGTTGGCCTCACAGACAGCTCTCCTGCTTGACCATGGAATCGTGACACGTCCCTCCAAAACATGAAGCCGTGAACTTCCTTCCTTCCGGCACGCACGTATGTTCCCGTGATCCCGTCTATACCCATCGAGACACAAAAAACTTACCGCTCTCCGTTGACCAGGAGAGGAGAACTCCTCTCGGGACGGACGCGACCCCCCCTGCGCGCCATGGCCACTTCCCGTCGCGCCCTCCGCTTCGTCCTGCTCCTGCCGGCCATCCTCGCCGCCCTCCTGCCGCCGGCCCCGGCGCGGCCGCGGGGCCGCCCAGGGTGTCCCTGGCGCTCTACTACGAGTCGCTCTGCCCCTACTGCTCGCGCTTCATCGTCACCCGCCTCGCCGGGATCTTCGACAGCGGGCTCATCGGCGCCGTCGACCTCCTGCTCGTCCCCTACGGCAACGCCCACGTCCGCGGCGCCAACAACACCATCTCCTGCCAGGTGCTGCCGCTAGCCCTCTCAGTGATCCAGTCCCCGATTAATTCCCCCTGAATCATCCAGCTCACAAATTGATTCCTAGCTAGTTACTGAATTACCCTGCCACAAATCTTTTGTTCTCTCTGCCTTGGTAATTAATCGACGCCTCCGACCAATTTCGTAGAGTAGCTAGCTTCATAATTAGCGGCTCATTACTGCAGAAATACTTTGAACGGTAGTGGTGGCAGTAGCGTGGCATCATAGCGGCCAAGGCGTATTGCTGCTAATTAGTCGCCGTCATGCCGTTTTTTTTACTGGTTAGAGAAACAAGGTGGATCCGTACTAGTATAACACTTGTCGAACGCGCGGCCCAAAACGTTTGGCATAGGCTCAATTTAGCGCGGCCCATTTGCTATTGTTTCTCTTTCTGTTTGTTTCTGCCTTGTACGCAAGGAATAACACTGAATTACTTTGCAACGAATATCCTGTTCTCTTGCCTTGGGCCAATTCCAAAGCTAGTTTCTTGATTTTGCGGGCAGAGATATTTTGAAGGTAGTGGTGGCAGCAGCGTGGCATCATAGCGGCCAAGGCGTATTGCTTGCTGCTAATCAGTCGCCGTCATGCCCTTTTCTTTACTGGTTAGGGAAACAAGGTGGATCCATATACGATACTAGCAAGATACTTGCCGAACGCGCGGCCCAAAACGTTTGGCATAGGCTCCATTTAGTGCGGCCCATTTGCTATTGTTTCCCTCTCTGTTTGTTTCTGCCTTGTACGCAAGAAATAACTGAATTTGTATTATCAACAAAACAAGTGCACGCACCTGGCTGCCTTGTCTAATTGTCTTACTTACACTAGAGCTACAATGACTTCTCTCTCAGATCTCAACTAGTAATGCCGTACCACTACAACCCACCAGCCCACTACGCATGAGAGTTTGCGATGATTCTAAAAGAGGAGGAGAACATGCTTTGCAACCGTCACCTACAATCATGTATTCCTACGGTGATTAATGGCCTGGTTTTCGGGCAGACCACAAGTTAGGCTCTCTCCACTACCAGCCCTTCCACCTTAGAGATCTCTTGTAGTTTTCAGCTTATGGAAGAGTTACTATAATTCACTGCAAAGCCACTTCCATTGAGGTTTTGTATTTGCTAGCTTTTAGAAACGCCACTAACAATCCTCAACAAGTTGCTTACCTTCTGGTTTATGCGACCTAAGTGTACCGCACCTAGTGCTTTTGTCTAGAATGGAAACTCTTCCAGAAGAAACAAGTTTCATTGGAGTGTGCAATAGTTTTAGTTTTACAAATGCATCTTGAAATCCTCATCATTTCATCGTGCAGATGCTCATAAGATGAAATGGTGGGAACCACTCATCATTTCACATCCTCAAATATGCACCACATCGCCACACACGGCCGAGCAATTCTAGTTTGTCCTTTAAACCACCTCGCTGCACACGTGGCGACCAGCCCATCACCCTAATCGCCAATATAAACCCCTCACTGCCAAGCTCCTGCACTCACTCCAAGGCTCCACCTTCTTCTCTGCACACTGATCTTCTGCCCATTGATCGACCGGACGAGCAAACCCCATGGCCACCCGCCCCCACCGTTTCCTCCTCCTCCCCGTGCTACTCCTGCTGCTCAGCGTCTCCTCCGCGAGCGCCAATGGCGATGTAGTCACGGCGGGGAGCGGGAAGGTTAGCATGGCGCTCTACTATGAGTCGCTGTGCCCCTTCTCAACGCACTTCGTGGTGAACAGCCTCGCCAGACTCTTCAAGGATGGACTCCTTGATGCCGCGGACCTCACCGTCGTTCCCTATGGCAACGCCAAGGTGGACGCGCACGGTGCCATCACCTGTCAGGTGTGCCATCGCCGCGCGCCCAATCCGTTCCTCTGCTTCTTCCTTTGGTTATCTTATTATAGATGTTTCTTTGTTCAATCAGGGATCCTGGGTGTGTGCTTAGTTCTGAGTAGTACTTTCTAATTAGCAATGTTAATTACTGACTATTTAGCTGTGGATGGTGCTGATGCTCATACTAATATTGGGATTTTGGCTTGTTGCAGCATGGCCCCGATGAATGCCTTCTCAACAACGTGGAGGCTTGCGCCATCGAAGCCTGGCCGGATTTGGTAATTCATCCACATCTCATCATAATCTCTGCTCACAGCTTCACCACCAACGTATTGTTGCAACTTCATTAAGTTCTCAGCAAAGAATAGGCTGGACTATGATACAATAATCACGACGCGAACTTCGTATCAGTTATAGTAGTAATAGAATAGTCATTAGCTAGCTGTCGTCACTTCCCCAGGTCCAAGTTCTCACCTCAAATCTAGACAGTTCTGCTACAAGTCTGGAGAATTTTGTTACACATACTCTTTGATATGATAGCTACTTGTCACTGGTTGCAGAATGTGCATTTCGGTTTCATCAACTGCGTGGAGGACCTGGTGATGAACCGCAAGTGCGAGGAATGGGAGTCGTGCTTCCAGAAACAGGGGCTTGACCCCAAGCCTGTCATGGAGTGCTACAACAGTGAGCATGGCCACAAGGTCCGTTCCCCTTGCCTCTGCGTTGTATCATCACATACATTTTATAGGCAATATTGCTAACCACAGTGTTCGTATTTTGCTTGCTCCATCTAGCTTTCGCTCAAGTATGGGAAACAGACTGATGCGCTTGTGCCCCCGCACAAGTACGTTCCATGGGTGGTGGTTGATGGCCAGCCGCTGTATGAGGTAAGCAACAACCACTCTTCTCAAGTTTTTGATCCAATCATGATGGAAGATTTCACATTTTACTAACTGTTTGCTCAGCTTCATGTCGGAGTTTCACCATATAAGCATACGCTAGTTCTTGAATCATGACGAGCTTGTTTGTTTCAGGACTACGAGAACTTCGAAGCTTACGTCTGCAAGGCTTACAAGGGCCATCCTCCCAAGATTTGCCAAGGGCTGGGCCGTGACTACCCAATCGTACAACAGGTGGTGGAGGCTGGCAACGGTGTCACCTACAACTCCGGCGATTTCGAGCTGGATGAAGGGGTCGACGACAAGATTAAGATTAAGATGGTCCAGGGTGATGACAATTGATAAATTGTATATGTCTCCTTTCGGGGCTCCTATACCGATACACGTGAATATAGGGCCGTTTCATCTTTCTGGTCAGGTTAATTATGGCAGTATTGCTAAAGCACATCTAGATAATAAAGTGAGTTATGGTGATGTAAATTCCTGTTCAAGTTAATATGGAGATATACGTGAGCATTGTGAGTTTTATTTTTCTGTTCAAGTTTTTTATTTGGCCGTGTCCAAGTTAATATGGAGATATACAACGTGCGATAATAATCGTGAGCTATGGTGATCCTGCTAGCCCTATCTGGTTTCTGGTTTGTTGAACTAACGAACCTAAGTAAGCGTGGATTTTCTATGTGGGCCATCCAGCTTAGCAGCAAGAGATCCATGTTGTCTTTACATAGAAATTTCTCTATTTTATTTCCAAAAATTGATTTTGGAGGCCTTTTTTGAATTTTTTAATCAAAAATCATATTTCTACATTTCAGACAAATCCGAAAAATACAGATATACATGGAGTCATAATGTACATGTGTGTAAATTTCCACGATGAAATACATTGAAATGAGGGCCCTGCAAAGAAAAAAACAATTCGTGGCTTTTGAGCACATGATACTCTTCATCCCCAAATTTGTAGGTCAACGCCACACAAGTACCACTATGTGAATAAAAGAGTGAATTCCATCTTTTACCCACTAAATTCATGTTTGTGACAGATATTACCCCATTTAGTGAAAATTCCCAATTTAGGCAAGTTTGTGATACATTTTAAATTCCCTCCCACATTTTATGCTAACTGGACTAGCCACATATGCGGTTTTATTTTTTCTCTGGTTTTCGTTAAAGCTAATTATATTTGTTAGAACTCATACAAATTACTAGCAAGGAGAACTCTAAGATAGAGAAAGTATCCAATGAAAACCAAGATTTGGTGGAAACCGGTGAAACTATAATTTCAAATGTTTAAAAAATTCTGAAAAATACAGTGTGGTGGAGAAGGTGACCCTCTAGAAACAAATTTCATTTTCAAATTCAAATTCACCTAAGAGCTATGGAGATTTTTTTTCAAATTCAGCAACTAAAAATGTGAAACATGTGAAATTATGAAATTGATTTTCTTCATAGCTGCCAAGTGAAAACGAAATTGAATTTTAAAAAGGGTGGGGGCGCTAATAGCTAATTCTATGCAGTATACATGCACTCCTATAACATTTAACGCAGCGCATTTGCCACTGTTTCTCTTTCTGTTTGTTTCTGCGTTGTAAGAAGATCCACTGAATATATTTTTTCCCCGCAAAGAAAAAACACTGAATAAATTTGTAGTGCAACGCAACACGCTTGGTTGCCTTGTCTTAATTACTCTAGAGCTAAGACGAGTGTTATCTCTCATCATCTCTATGAAGTAGTAATGCTATGCTAACACGCTACAGCGAGCCGGCAGAGAATCATGGTTTGCGATTTCAAAAATGGAAGATAAAACATAGTACTACTGTACTAGTCAGCAATTGCCACCTATGTCTTGGTTGATGGGCAGAACATAAGTTTAGGCTCCACTACCAGCTGTGCTACCGTGGAATTCTCTTAAAGTTTTTAGCTTATGGAGTGGTTACTAATTAATTGCAAGCCACTCCCTTTGATGTTTTGTACTGTATTTGCTACTTCCTCCCTTTCAAAATAGATGACCCAATTTTATACTAATTTTGTATTTAAGTTGAGTTATCTATTTTGAAACGGAGGGAGTAGCTTTTAGAAACACCACTACCGGCAATCCTCAAGAGGAAGTGAACACAAGTTGCCGCCTATCTTCCTCAGGGTGAGTTATGACTTAGTTGATGGGCAGAACACAAATTTAGGCTCCACCACCAACCATGCTACCGTAGAATTCTCTTGAAGTTTTCGGCTTATGGAATGGTTACAAATTAATTGCAAGCCACCTCCTTTGAGGTTTTGTTTTTTGTAGCTTCTAGAAACGCCACTACCAATCCCCCATCGGTCATTTGCCATCTTGATGTATTGAAGGAGATGTTTGGCACCGAGTTCTTGTCTAGAGTTGTCAAGCTTTTCCAGAAGAAACAAGGTCCACTTGATTGTGGGAACCATTTTCTGCATTTAGAAACCATTTCTGCCGATTTGCGTCATCGTTCTATAGTGCGGATGGCAGATGCTCGTACGTAGATGAAAATGGTGGGAATCATTCATCAATTTACACCCGCAGTTTCAAATTTTTTTTTTTACACCTTGAGACTGTAAGACAATAAGTTTTGGGGAACCAGCACGACCCTCTAGGGGTGGCTTATCTCATTATATATAATGGTTGTGTTACAATATGTACCATATACGTACATAGGTACAGAAGCTATACATAGTCTAACACCCTCCCTCAATCTTAGCCACTTTCTAAAGAACTGAGAAGGGTAAGATTGCGCCTACAAGCCTCAAACTGTGGCAGCGGTAAAGGCTTAGTGAAGATGTCTGCAAGTTGATCCTTAGATGAGATAAACTTGATCTGGAGTTGCTTCTGTGATACACGTTCCCGTACAAAGTGATAGTCAACTTCAATGTGTTTCATTCGGGCATGAAATACTGGATTTGCAGAAAGGTATGTAGCACCGATGTTATCACACCAAAGAATAGGAGGCTGTGGTTGAGACAAACCCAACTCCTGAAGCAAAGACTGCACCCAAATAATCTCTGCAGTAGCATTAGCCACAGCCTTGTACTCAGCTTCAGTACTGCTACGTGACACAGTAGCCTGTTTCCGAGCACTCCAGGCGATCAAATTAGAGCCAAAGAATACTGCATAACCCCCCGTGGATCGCCTGTCATCTGGGCTACCAGCCCAATCTGCATCAGAGAAGGCCGAAAGGACCCGAGAGGAAGTCGGCCGAATATGCATACCAAATGTCAGGGTGAACTGAACATAACGAAGAATGCGTTTAACAGCAGCCCAATGAGTATCTCTGGGAGCCTGAAGATACTGACAAACCCTGTTAACAGCATAAGAAATATCTGGTCTCGTGATCGTCAAGTACTGAAGTCCACCAACAATGCTCCTGTACTCTGTGGCATCCGCAGGAGACAAAAGCTCACCATCAACAGCTGTTATCTTGTCGGTAGACGACATGGGTGTGGTGGTCGGTTTGCACTTCAGCATGCCAGCTCTCTGTAACAACTCCAAGGAGTACTTCTTCTGCGTAAGGACAAGACCAGTAGCACGAGAAGTGACCTCAACTCCAAGAAAGTAGTGAAGCTTTCCAAGATCTTTGACCGCAAAATCAGCATCAAGAGAGCAGACAAGAGCATCAGCAGCATACTGAGAAAAGCTGACAAGGATAATATCATCGACATATACCAAAAGATACATAGTGACTTCTGGCTTCTGTAGAAGAAATAACGAAGTGTCAGCAGTAGACGGCACAAACCCATGAGCACGAAGGGCAGAGGCAAGGCGGGCATGCCAGGCACGAGGAGCTTGCTTCAAACCATATAGTGCTTTGGAAAGACGACAGATATAGTCAGGACGATCAGGATCAGAGAAACCAGGCGGCTGGTTCATATAAACCTCTTCCTCCAAAAATCCATGTAGAAAAGCATTCTGCACATCAAGTTGACGAAGTGACCAACCACGAGAAACAGCAATGGAGAGAAGAAGCCGAATAGTGGTAGGCTTGACGACAGGACTGAAGGTGTCCTCATAGTCAAGACCATGACGCTGCCGAAAACCGCGAGCAACAAGTCGCGCTTTGTAACGCTCAATAGATCCATCCAAATGCTTCTTCACTTTGAATACCCATTTTGAGTCAATAACATTTACCCGTGGTGGTGGAGGAACGAGAGTCCATGTCTTGTTACGAAGAAGAGCATGAAACTCCTGCTCCATAGCCTCTCGCCAATGTGGAATGTGCAGGGCAGCCTGATATGAGCGAGGCTCAGAAGATGGATCCGCAACAGCAGCAGCCAACCAAGCAGCCAACCAAGCAACTGTACCATCCTTACGTTCCTTAGGTTTGAAAATGCCACTGCGACTGCGTGTATGTGGTGGGGACACAGGAACCACCGAGGTGGACGGAGCAGCCTGCAACGGGCTGGAGGACGACGACGTTGACGAGTCAGCCGGTGACGAGGAGCCAGTCACGGTAGCCTCGGACTCGGTTGGCGAAGAAGGCCGACCCACCGGCGAAACCGGCAGAGCAGACGAAGCAGCTGGCGACTCCGGCATCACAGACCGGGCCGATGGCGAGCTCGGCATAGTGGGCCGTGGCGCGGCCGGTGTCGCGGGCCGATCCGCTGATGAAGGCGACGTGAGAACCCGAGCCGCGGGCGAAGACGGCGTGACGGGCCGAGCCGCAGGCGAAGACGGCGTGACGGGCCGAGCCGCGGGCGACTCGGCGGCCGCTGGCGAAACGGACCGAGCAGTGGAGATGCTCGGCGCGACGGGCTCGTCGGGTGACCATGCATGGGCACGCGAATCGATGCCATGCAACATAGGGCGATCGACGTGCCCACCAGAAGACGACGATGATGATGGTGAATCCTCCAACAGCTCCAAACGAGCTCCACGTCCGGTTCCTACACCATGGTTAGGTAACAGCAAAGGAGAGTATGCAACATCACCAAATTGGTCAGAAGCAACAGAGGATGAATGCAGGGATGGTGGTTCGACAGTGGACACAGGAAGGTTGGCAAAGGGAAAACATGCTCATCAAACACGACGTCCCGAGATATATAGACACGATTAGTGGGAACATGAAGACATTTGTAACCTTTATGAAGAGAGCTATAGCCAAGAAAAACACACTTCTTAGAACGAAACTCAAGCTTGCGCTTGTTATATGGACGAAGATGCGGCCAGCAAGCACACCCAAATACCTTGAGAAAGGTATAATCAGGTTGTTCATTAAGGAGAACCTCAATGGGAGTCTTCATGTTTAAAACACGAGTAGGAGTACGGTTGATGAGAAAGCATGCAGTGGTGAAAGCATCACTCCAAAACCGAAACGGAGCAGATGCATGGGCCA